TCTGTGTGGGAGGAATTGAAAGAGAAGTTGTTGAGGGTGAGGACGAGTTCGGCTAAGCGGATGAGGGTGTCAGTGGAGGGGGACTGGTCGGGCCTGCGGGACAGGAAGAAGCGGAGGGCCTTTAGGCTATCTGTATGGGGAATGCAGGTGTATAGGGAGTGGATGTCCATGGTAAAGATGAGGTGTTGGGGACCGGGGAATTGGAAGTTCTGGAGGAGGTGGAGGGTGTGGGTGGTGTCACGGACGTAGGTAGGGAGTTCCTGGACCAAGGGGAAGAAAATGGAGTCCAGATAGTTGGAGATAAGTTCAGTGGGGCAGGAGCAGGCGGAGACAATGGGTCGACCAGGGCATTCAGGTTTGTGGATTTTGGGAAGGAGATAGAAGCGGGCGGTGCAGGGTTGGGGAACGATGAGGTTGGAGGCCGTGGGTGGGAGGTCACCTGAGGTGATGAGGTTGTGGATGGTTTGGGAGATGATGGTTTGGCGGTCGGGGGTGGGGTCATGATCAAGGGGGCGGTAGGAGGAGGTGTCGGAGAGTTGGCGTCTGGCCTTGGCGATGTAGAGGTCCGTGTGCCATACTACAACTGCGCCTCCCTTGTCCGCAGGTTTTATGGTGAGGTTGGGATTGGAGCAGAGGGAGCGGGGGCCTGCACATTCTGCGGGGGAGAGGTTGGAGTGGGTGAGAGGGGTGGAGAGGTTGAGGCGATTGATGTCTCGACGGCAGTTGGAGATGAAGAGGTCAAGGGAAGGTAGGAGGCCTTGGGGTGGTGTCCAGGAGGAGGAGGTGTGTTGGAGGCAGGAGAAGGGGTCAGTAGAGGGAGGGTTAGGTTCACGGTTGAAGAAGTAAGTATGGAGGCGGAGGCGGCGGAAAAACTGCTCTATGTCCAAACGTGACCGGTATTCGTTGATGTGTGTGTGGAGGGGGACAAAAGTAAGCCCTTTACTGAGGACTGACTGTTCGTCCTCAGTAAGGGGGAGGTCTGGGGGGATGATGAAGACTCGGCAGGGCTGGGTGCTATTGTCCCCTCTGAAGCTGCTGACTGTGGAGGCTGTGGGCGGAGCGACATCGGCGTAGGCTGTGGGCGGAGTTGCGTCGGCGGTGGGCGGAGTTGCGTCCGCGTCAGTGATGGGCGGAGCGGTGTCGGCGGTGGGGGGAGCGGGGTAGGCGGCGGCAGCAGCGGTGACGGTAGGCGAGTCTTCAGTGTCTGTGGTGTTGGTTTCGGAAATGGAGGCGGTGGCAACGGCAGCGATGGCGTTCGCTGTCCCGGAAGTGGGGTACCCGGCAGTGGCAGATGTGACGTCATCTGTAGGTTCTCCGACAGTGGCCTCATGGCCAATGGCGGCGGGCACATTGTGGGGAAGGTCCTGGGTAGGGTTGGGGATTTGGGGGGTGGAGGAAGCCCGTTTTGGGTGGTAGGCACCAGTAAGTTTACTGTACTTACAGTTTTTAGTGTCCAATAAAGCTGAGTAGAATTGTGAGTTCAGGTTGTGGATCCTACGAAGAATAAAAAACAGGAGAGGTCCTTTGCAGGTCTGGGAGAGGGAGGCTCTGAGCTGGGGTAGGCTTGATCGTAGTGCCAGGAGATGCCGGCGCATTGCTGCGAGTGTGTGTTTCAGGAGTCGCAGGGAGAAACGCTTCTGAAGGATCTCAATGCTATGAATGTAGATATTGTCACGGTTGGGGCCAAATTGGGAAGGCCTGAATGTGGACTGTAGTCCATTGGGGATGATCTGGTTCCGTAGGCAGGTCCTAAGAAAGGGGATGTGGCTGTAGTACCTGGTTTGCTTCAGGACATGGTCGAGCAGTTTCAAGGCCGAAGAGATTACGAGAGAGTTGCAGTGGGAGAGAGAACCCCTGAGGTTTGTCCGGAGGGAAGAGGGTAACTTCTTCAGGCTAGGCATCCTTAGAAGAGGCTTCGCAGTGGGGTTAAAATTGAATCAGAGATAGTAGGAACTGCAGATGCTGGAGAATCCGAGACAACAAGGTGCAGAGCTGGATGAACACAGCAGGCCAAGCAACATCATAGGAGCAGAAAGGCTGACGTCCTCCTGCAGTGCCACAATGATGCCACCCGAAGGTTGCAGGAACAGCAACTCATATTCCGCTTGGGAACCCTGCAGCCCAATGGTATCAATGTGGATTTCACAAGCTTCAAAATCTCCCCTCCCCCTACCGCATTCCAAAACCAGCCCAGCTCGTCCCCGCCTCCCTAACCTGTCCTTCCTCCCACCTATTCCCTCCTCCCACCTACTAACCTCATCCCGTCCCCTTGACCTGTCCGTCCTCCCTGGACTGACCTATCCCCTCCCTAACTCCCCACCTACACTCACCTTTACTGGATCCATCCCTGCCCTCTTCGACCTGTCTGTTTCCTCTCCACCTATCTTCTCCTCTATCCATCTTCTATCCGCCTCCCCCTCTCTCCCTATTTATTTCAGAACCCCCTTCCCCTCCCCCATTTCGGATGAAGGGTCTAGGCCCGAAACGTCAGCCCTTCTGCTCCCATGATGTTGCTTGGCCTGCTGTGTTCATCCAGCTCTGCACCTTGTTGTCTCGGATTCTCCAGCATCTGCAGTTCCTACTATCTTTGATACTGAAGCTGGCTTGCTGTTTCTAACTTAAAGCTAATACAATCAAAATGGCAACTTCTTTTTCTGCATATTCTTTTCTTCTTACTTCTCTTCAGATGGCTGTAGATCTTTGTCCTTTTAATGATTTCTCCATTCTAGAAGACAGAAATCCTCACCACTATTAGTTGCAAGATATGTCTGGAGCTTGAACCTTGTAGCGATAATTTTTTCTTTGAGTAGGTTTGCTGCTACCTGCACCTTTCTGTAATATGAATCTACAAAGGTAATAGCATTAGTGGTTAATCCTTCATCACTTAAGTCTTTGGCAGAAGAGGCACATACTTGACAAGTAGTTTATTGCATAATAGTAAGACAACATTTTAGATTAATTTAAGAAAATAGAACAATACAGTACAGGATCAGGCCCTTTGGCCCACCATTTATGTGTTGACCACGATGCCATTCTAAACTAATCACATCTGCCTGCATATGGTCTGTATGCCTCAATTCCCTGCCTGTTCATATGTCTGTCCAAATGCCTCTTAAATGTTGCTATCGTATCTGCTTCTACTATCTCCCTTGGCAGTGCGATCCAGACACCTACCACCCTCAGCATAAAAAAACTGGCCTTGCACATCTCGTTTAAACTTTCCCACTCTCACACTTTAAAGCTATGGCCCTTAGTATTTGACAATTACACCCTGGGAAAAAGACTTCAACTATCTACCATATCCATGCATTTCAATTTACGTACTTCTATATTATTTAATTAATTAAGATTGGTCAATTAGACTAATGATAGGTCAAACACATTTTTATCTCCCAAAAATCACAGAATCCTTACAGTAAGGAAGCAGGCCATTCAGTCCACACCAACACTCTGAACAGCACCCACCCGGACCCATCACCCCAGACCTGTCGGCCCCACTTTCCCTCTGGCTAACCCACCTAGCCTGCACATCCCTGAACTCTATAGACAATTTAGCATGGCCAATCCACCTAACCTGGACATGTTTGGACAGTGGGAGGAAACTGGAGCACACATTGGAAACCCACGCAGACACAAGGAGAACATGCAAATATTGACAGTCGCCTGAGGGTGGAATTGAACCCAGGTCCTTGGTGCTGTGAGACAGCCGTGCCACCCTGAGATATAACTGAGTCTATGGAACATGGTTATAGACTGCAGAATTGACTAATACCTCCCAAAGGCAGTTATTTATATATCAATAACACAAATGAAAGTACTGAATTGTTGAGTATAACTATATAAAAGTATTAAATAAAAACCAAAAGAACTCCAGATGCTGTAAATCAGGAACAAAAACAAAGTTGCTGGAAAAGCTCAGCAGGTCTGGCAGCATCTGTGAAGGCAAAAACAGAGCCAACATTTGTTAACTCTGTTCTGAGGAAGGGTCACCGGACCAGAAACGTTAACTCTGTTTTTGTTCCTGTATATAAAAGTGTTGTTTATTGATTTTAAAAGTGTTTTGCTCATTGGTAGAAGGTAATTCCACCTTAATTAAATTTGTTTTTCTGATGATAATGCATTTGATGAAATTTGCAATTAGTAATAATTGTGAAACTTAAAACTAACCAATTGTTGCAAAAACCCACCTGGTTCATTATTGACCCTTTGGGGAGGAAATTTGCTGTTCTTACCTTGCCTTGCATGCCGTTCAGTTCAAAGGCAACTAGTGATGGGCAGCTCAGCCAGTGATGACCACTTCCCATCAACAAAATTTAAACATCCATGAAGAATCAAACATTAGTGGAACCAAAACTATTGTATTTTATCATGCTACACAACAAACAATTTAAATTGATTATGCAAATTATGTTAGCAGAAACTTGGGACGAATCCTATAGGAGCCTAAACAATGTGAGAAATCTGGGAGAATCCTGCAAGTCTGGTGAGGCGTCTCTCAAAGTCAGCAGCAAATAGCTGTTGAAACAAAATTCTCTCGAGGTAGTGACAAAATACCTATTAAGGAGGATTATTGCTTGCTGTCAGTCTAAATAACTGCACTTCTTACCTCAATAATAATCATCCTCCAATCTTACCACTTGCCATGAGGAAATTAAACACCAGGAATTCTCGATATGGAAGTCTGAGCAAGCACCTGGCTACTTCAGCTCACTCCGTGCTTTAAGGACCTCCATCTTGGACACATAGTACCAGCATCCTAGGCCAGCAACTGCAAGCACTTTGGTATCTGACACTTGCCAGCCTCTCTGCATTGCCAATGCACATCTCTGATCCACTTACAGCATGCTTCTACATTTTAAAGTTACACCTGAAAATGTTGCATGCAATAGCGAGAGTGGTGAGTCCATGAGTTATGGTTGAAGGTGCATGCAGCTAACAGGGATAGCGAGAGTGTGAGGGAGCAGAGGTGAAATGGTTGCAGAGCAGAGCAGGTCACTGACCTTGTTCCTACACAGCTTGGTATTCCTCCAGATGGCAGAGACTGCACTGACCTAAGTAACAACAGTGGAACAAGTGAGCACGGTATGGCATCATGGCCTTCTCTGGTGGTCCTATTACACCTTTAGATCCATGTCTACAAAGCAGTGCACCAATATACCCTTATTATTACATCTAGGGTAAATGTCATGAACCACGAAAGGCAGCTCCAGACTGGCTGTGCTTTTCCAGGTCCATAAAGGCTTTTAAAAAATGGCAATAGCACTGGCACCAGGAATGCCAGTCCATTCTCCAATATTTCAGCAGTAGCAATTCTTCTGGATGTAAGTGGAGCCATAAGGCAGGGGCAGGCAGTTAATGAGGCAGATTTGGAACGACAGTGGACAGGGGAAATCTATGAAACTCAACAAAATTGATTCAGTCAAAACATTAGGATTCAGCTGAAGGTATAAACTAACCAATGCAATTGCAAACGCAAGCTGCATCTACTTTCCAATTTGAAAGGCACAATAAAAATGCAAGTCTTTCAGTCTTTATCTGTTATAATATTCATTCTTGAAGCTATAATATTTAGTTTTGGGCATGAGAACTGGAAATTAGTGACTAAATTAGGAAATTCGAATCTGAGAGACAAGTTGGAATTGCTAATAATATTTTCAAGAAAATCTAATTTTTACATTGAGCGAGGTTCCAGTTTACACGAGCACAAAAAGTACAATTATACCACATAGGACGTGCCAAAAGAACACTTTACAAATTTGTGGTAGATTTGCAGATTGGTACATTAAGCATATGTGACCACATCTGAGGGCTAAACTTAATCTTTAAATGGTCAGTGTTAAATAAAATAGCACTTGTAATACATGTTACTGGTTTAATTAAAACATGTATTCCTATGCTGTAAGCTCTTGACTGGAGATAGCAATTTCCATGAAAGCTTCAGTCAGGTTCCTAATTTCAAAATAAGTATCTGTAAAACAGAATAAAGAATAAGGTTTGTGCTCAAGTTTTGACAAAGAAGTAATCAAGATTCCTAGAATTCTTCAGCTAATAGTTGCCATGAGAAGTTGACAGCAGAAACAGAGTTCTTTAACATGCGTAAGTAAAAATTAAACTCAAAATACATAATCAAAAATCATTATGCAGTATGAAAGATGGAATGTTTATAACGATGAACAAAGCAAAAGATAACAAACAAAAATCTTAATAACAAGATCTTAATAATAAAACTTCAAGGCTGGCATTCCCAGAACAGAATTGACAACAAACTGAGCAGTTAAAAAATACTTACTAATGGTTGGGATTGGAAATGAAAACCATAAGCAGTGGAAACCCACAGTTGGTCAGTCAATATTTGTTAGAGGGAAAGACATCAGTCTAGAAAACTAAAAAAAAAGTGTATTGGACATTCATCAAAATAATCTATATAAAGTAATAAAAAGGCAGATTTAGCACTGTGGCATGTTTGGCTTAATTTGCTAAATACTTTGCTTACCTTCTACCCGCTTCCCAAAAAAGATTTTTTTTTTGAAGAATATTAACTTAAATGAGAGAATTGCATGGAAAATTGCACCGTGAAATAAAATATTGCAGAAAATTAATTCTTCAAAGTTGCAAATATTTCTTGTGTCCTAAAGTGAACAAGTAACAAGATATCCACTATACTGTGCATGGTACATGGCATTTCTATCTTCTTTACAACTCCAAAGCAGTTAGTCAAGTGTTAATGCTTGGGCATTTGAAATGGTCTCCAAGCAACTGAGGAGACAGTTACAGCAAAAATACATGAATAACGTAATTGATTGTGGGGCTATGCTTATGAAGTTGATGCATGCTTTCAATTCCAACTTAGTTAGGAAATCAGTTACATTGCTGCTTCATCACAATGCCAGAATTAGTTTAGAATTGCTTGATGCCTTGGCACATTTATAGAGTGGAAATGAAATAATCTCAAGTAATAGTGAAAAGCATTCCAATATATTGACTAATTTACAATGCATCCAAATTGTCAAGTTTCAATGCAACCTTCCACTATTAATCCTCAAAGATTCTCCAATCTGTCAGGCATAGATCAATATAAGAAACAAGCACTTGCAATTTAAAACCAGTTTTGAAATCTTTTGATAAGTTAAAGCTACAAGGAGCAGTTTCAGAGCTACAAAGACTCTTACTTGCATGTAATAAAGGCACCAAAGGAAAGCAGAAAGGAGGACTTTTAAACAGAACATCTTTAAGTCAATATCAAGAAAGCAATAATTTTGGTTGAATATTTCATTCTTTAACTGACCTTTAAAATATTATTTTCTCTATTTCCAGAAACTATACCTTAACCTCATCTACCTACCTTGGATCAGTAACCCTCAATGAAAATGTGAGAATGTACTCTTAAAGGAATAAACCTTTAAGAGCAAACTGTGATAGCTTCAGAGTTATTGACGGCAGCAAGGTTTATTGAAGTCTGTACTTAGTTTTTTTCTCCATAAAGAGGTTCTTGTGGTGCAGTGGTAGTGTAGCTACCTCTGGATGTGGAGCCTGAGTTCAAGTCCTGCCTACTCCAGAGGTGTGTGATGACATCTCAGACAGATTTGAAAATATTCTATAAAATGGATGTTCCATGGTAAGGCTGTGTGATTAGCCATAATGCAGCAGTTTAATAACTACACACTCCTCCAGGCAATGTTATTCAAATAAAGAGCTCTTCTGGTGCAGTTGTAATGTCTGTACTTCTGAGCTAGAAGACCCAGATTGAAATCCCACCTGCTCCAGAGGTGTGTCATAACATGTCTGAACAAGTTGATTTTAAAAAAAAGTTTAGAATTGTAGACTGTGACTTTGGTAGATCTCTAAAGTAAATCATATCTTATGGATTCAAATAAAAAAGGTGTTTAGATGCACATTTTAGAAAAGAAGCTTTTCCCCAAAGAAACATCTTTATCCAGGTTTGGGCTCTTGCAGCAACACTTGTACTGCCTCTATCCCTGAGCCAAAAGTCCCAGATTCAAGACTCACTAGTTACAGAGGGGAGAAAGAATATCCCAAACAGGTTGATTAATAAAACTGTTATAAGTAAACAAATTAAATTGTTTTTCCCCAGTAGGGGAGTTGACTTCTGGACATAAAGAGGACCAAGAAAGGAAAGGGAGAAACTGGTGTTCGTAGTAGTTTAACAATAAAACAGTTGTATACCTCCAAATGTCCTCTACTGCTGATTCAGTGTATGGATATCAGTACATCAAATACTCAATACTCTTGCTCAAGAAAACATTACCAATCTGAGTCTTGAAACATTGAATTGAAGGGCACGACTGAATGGCCTAGCTCTAATCTGAAGATAATAATCTTCGCCAGAAATAGTTGTTTCTCTTTTTTTACCATATCAACTCAACTGCTGCCTCACAGCGCCAGGGACCTGGGTTTGATTCCACCCTCAGGCGACTGTCTGTGTGGAGTTTGCATGTTCTCCCTGTGCCTGCGTGGGTTTTCTCCAGGTGCTCCGGTTTACTTCCACAGTCCAAAGATGTGCAGGCTAGGTGGATTGCCTGTAGTGTTCAGGGATGTGTAATTTAGGTGAGTTATAGGGGGATGGGTCTGGGTGGGATGCTTACAGGGTTAGTGTGGACTTGCTGGGCCGAAGGGCCTGTGATGGACTTGTTGGGCCGAAGGGCCTGTTTCCACACTGTAGCGATTCTATGATGATGATGATGAATTAATTATCTTAAAGACCTCAATTAGACCACCCCTTAATCTTCCATTTTCAAAATAATAAAAATGCCTAATCTACACAATAGAAGATTTTAGCTCTAGTATCATTATGGTAAATCTGTGCTGCATCTTCTTCAAATTGATATATGCTTCCTAAGGTGTCCCATCCAGAACTGAACACAGTAGTACAAATTGAGCCTAACCAGAGCTGTACTGAACCATAACATAACTTCCACCTCTTGGTATTCCAGCCACCTCCAGATAAAGCTAGCATCCCATCCGTCTTTTAAATTAGGTTTTCGTGCCTGTTCACTGGCTTTGTGTGACATCTGTACTTGGACACCCAAATACCTCTGCTTCTCACCCTTTTAAAAATACTCATTTTGTTTTAGGCCCTGAAGGATATTTTCCTGCGCTGAACTCCATCTTCAACATATAAATCATGTACTGATAGAGCCAGTTAGCTCTGAGAATCATGTTTTGCACAGCAGTAATACCTATGTAAATTCAATTTACAGTATGGGAGGCTATTTAGCTGTAAGCAGCAGTGACAATTCTGCTGATGTAATCATAACAAAACACACTGCATTACTCCATCTCAATAGCTTGTTACCATCTTGGACTAGACTGCCAAATTTATGTTATGACCTGGCAGAGACCAGTAATTTTTAATTTAAATAAATCATAGAATTCCTACAGTGTGGAAGCAGACTCCATTCGGCCCATCGAGTCAATGCCGATCCACTGAACTGCATCCCACCCAGACCCACACTGGTTACCCTCTCCCTGTAACCCTGCATTTCCCATGGCTAATCCACCTAGCCTGCAGGTCCCTGGACGCTACAGGCAATTTAGCATGCCCAATCTGCCTAACCTGTACATCTTTGGACTGTGGGAGGAAACCCATGCAGACATGGGGAAAATGTGCAAACTCCACATACAGTTCCCTAAGGCTAGAACTGAACCTGGGTCCCTGGCACTGTGAGGCAGCAGTGCTAACCACAAGATCCAGGGGACTTGCTAAGAGAATAAAGCTATAAGATTCACAGTTTTGAACAACAATAATAAACGTTCCAATACAATCTACAATATATGTACAACTTGTCAATTCTGGGTTTTAGAAAATCAAGTGATTCATGTGGGTAACAGACAATGATCATTCATCCCACAGGACATATCAAAATGCAATTTCTCCCAGACGTTAGTTACACACTGGGTTATCAAATCCCATCAAACTTCAAAAGGAATCACAATTCTTCACTTTTGTCCTGACTTTGAAACTTCCTCTCAAGAAACACTGTGGTGGATCACCTCAACAAAATCTCCCATACCAGTTGATGGTCCTCTTTTTCTATGTCTACACTTCCCTGAACGCCAAAACAACACTCCAGCACTCATACATAAGCAAAACTATATCTTCACTGACAGCTAGCTTCCAATGAAGCAGTCCTGTCGCTGGATTTTTCTTCCAAGCTCCAACCTTGCTCAGCTAAATGAAATACCAATGCTGGCAGGCTTCTCCCAGAGCCAGTGATCATCTCACTTTCTCAACTCCCCAGAACTTCTAAGTCCTGATACTTGGCTGCCTAACAATTCCTAGAACTTCCTCCTGATGGCCACAGAGCTTTCCAACTGCTCTTCACCCCTCAGTGAGTCTCTTGCACAGAATCAGAGTAGTTCAGCTGCCTTTCTTTCACCTCAACATTCCTCACCTGGAATCTATATCTCTCTCCTTCTCCAACTGTGTCCTTTGAACTCCTCCTCAGTGACCTCCCAAGCTGTCTGGAGTGACCTATTGAAAACCTTACAGTAAGGTTATCCCCTATTGCTGGGCAGAATTGAACATTACTAACATTTTAAAACAGTCAAGTATAGCACCATAAGAACCAAGTGTAAAGTTGTGTTGTCACAGAATGCTGGAAGAGAATTTTCTCACAAGCTACAATTTTCTCTGCTTCCAATATTTATCCTTTAAAAGCAGTACTGAACCCCACCACAACCATCACTGGTGGCAAAACAATCATCAGCGAAACAATTTCTTTCAGTCTTTGCTCTCATTGACAATTTTAAATTGATGACAATCTATTTCGCAACCATTGTACTGTAGTCTGTGTTCATATCCAAACCCATCATAACTTTAAAAAAATTACATCTTTTTTAATATGCTGTGTTCCATTGGAAATTGACTTTGCATCTTAAGCCAATTCATAGCTTTGATTCATGACATCATGGTGAATTGCTTTACTATTCTTTCCATAATAATTTGCCCAAAACTGCACAACGTACTGTGACCAAAACAAATCATTGCACAAATGTATTATTTCCTTCTTGCATTAATGTTCTGTACAGCCCTATAGACGTTTTCTGATCTCCGTATTTCTCCAATTTTGATCTAGAGTTTCTTCATCCAAACTTATGCAACTGTGCATCCAGCTGCCTTGCTGTAAATTCTGAAATTTCCTCTTTAAATCACTGTTTCCTTTATCTTTTTCTCCTCCATTAAGTCACTTCTGAAAGCCTGCCCTTTTGACCAAACTTTACTAAACCTATTTTAACATTTCCTTATATAACTCAGAATCAAATTTTAACCAGTAATACTGTGAAACACCTTAGGGCGCTTTACTAGATATAAGCAGTTCCGATTTACAAATGTTCAACTTAGTAACACTTGCACAAATGAGAT